CAACAGATAAGTTTATTTGTAGATGTCAACAGGCAAGAGAAAGAAAATATCCAGAATACGTGTACCTGAATGTACTGGGAAAGACTGACAGAAGAAAAGTGGTGTGTTTTTTTTTCCAGCTTTCTTCCGGAATCTTCCCAGATGTGAGTTACTGTTACCTTGACTGTAAGACCTTTTGCTGGTTGGCCTATATTTTCCCCAAGTGTGTCCTGAGTCCTTGTGAAACAGCCATTAAAATTGCAAGAAGGTTTTGTCTAGGACGATATGTCTATACACAGGTATGTGCCTTATCTGTAAAACTGATCAGTGCCAGTTTGCTATCTGGACTTGGTATGACAAGGAACAAGGCATTAAGTTCCTGAAAAGGAGCCAGTACTTTGTGTCTCTCCAATAAGGTTGCTTCCACCAGCTAATTAAGGAATGATCTTGATGTGTGCTGAAGGGAAGTCTGTCCACTTCTGTGCTTCTCAGCCAGAGGGCCCTGCAGTACAATGTTTAGAACAGAAAATAGATATAAAGAAAATGGCATTTGAGAAATTAAGACAACCTCAGCAATGTGTGAATTCCAGGATTATGGGAAGAAACCAAAGTACCTGTTATGACCAGATGTCAAATTACTCACGGATGTACTTTCACATTGATTTAGATAATTAATTTGTTTGCCCCCAAACTTTCTACCCCATCTAAGCATGTATACCCCACAGCAGAATGTATACGCTTCTCAGAGTTTGGCTCATGTAATTGCAACTACAGGTGAATTTTTGTTTCTTATTCCTAAAACTTTTTCCGTGTATAGGAGTGCTGAGAAAGTTTGATTGGTTTATTCAGGGTATTCTTTACTCTTCTTGCCATGTTACTCAAAAATATCTGTGCTAATGTGGACTTGGACCAGGAAAATACCTGTCACCTTTTATGTTGATAGCATGATGTAAAAATTACTCTGTGTAAAAATGCTTGTACATTTAACCAACCGTGATTGCATAATTTAATTCAGTTTGGCCACAGCAAATTATTTAGGTTAAAGAGTAAATTAGGGCAGACAGTAAGATACAGTAGAGCTGTGTCTGTAAGAGCTCAGTAGCAATGAAGTTTTCACTTATAAAACTTACAGGTTAGCTAGACATTATCATTCTTTTAAGAGATTTCTGTTTGTCTAAACACAGTTTACTTAATGTAAGGAAAACTGAATTTTCTTTTATCTATTGATGCAGTGGCTAAGTGTCAGCGAGGTATGCTGCACAGACAATCCAGTAACATATTTAGGATACTTTTCTTTGAAGATGTAAGTTCTGTTCTTTGCTCTGATGTAGATTTTCTGTGTGACTTGGGAAAACATACTTAGCTCCTCAAGGACATTTAAGCATCTGAAAATGACAATATAAGATTTGAAAACACAGGTTTTTTTGTAAAATATATTAATTTGTTTGGGCACCTCAAAAAATCCTGAGGTTCTTGTTTGCATCTCTTAAAGCCCAAATACCTTTAAAAAATGTAGAGGGATCTTTTGCCACTGAGTTAGAAGCTGCAGCTGTCTGTTCAGTCAATAGGAAAACGTAGGAAATAAGATCCTGCTTCCCAGCTGACTAATTCAGAACCCTCAGGTAGATGCCTGAAATAAAGTAATGTCAATCACCGCTCCTTAATGGACTTCTAAAGTAGTCAGGAAATGGCTCAGTCAATCCAACAGCTCAACAGCTTGCTGCTGCTCGAGAGGATCATCTCTTTTCCCTCTAATGGTTCCTCCTCACCCCTTGCTTGCTGTGCAGTTCTGTACTTGCCTTCTGTCAGCTCCACTGTTTATCTGAGCCTTTGGTTGCTTTCTCTATTCTTCTGCATCCATATCTGGCAGGAAGCTAACCCAATGCAAGAAAGTGAGCAATTCTTTGCTAATTAATGAGCTAAAGTAGTTCCTTGAGGGTCAGAGCAGTGGTGATGGTGCTACAGTGAGAGAAGGAGCAGATAGACTGGAGTAAGAAAAGAGGGAGTACATAGGAGGGTATATGACACTCCCCCTCCCACTGCAAAAGCAGCAGTGAACTCTTGGATTGGCTTGTCCATCTTCTGTGACTCAGCATCTCTTCTCTAACTATCCAAGGTCTTCATCTGCAAAATAGTAATAATGGTGTCTCCCTTCTCTGTGCCTCCCTTTCCCACCTTCCTCAGCTCCCTGCCACATGCCCTAGATATTGGCAGGATCTGAGACAGCAACTAGAGGAGCTGATTCAGCTGCACACATGCAGATTGTCTGACTCCTACTTGTGGCTAATGAAGACATGCCTTCCCACTGCAGCTTTTCTCCTTCATTTTAATTTGTCTTCTTAAGTGATAATTGCTACAAAACTTATAGAGTTGTAGAGATCTTTCTGAATTACATCATTTAGTCAAATTAAGTTGAAATTCTCCATACAAAATCTGACAATTCTTGAAGGGAACTTGATGGACAGACAGGAAAAGAAAACTGTACCAGCCTCATTCTCTCAGTTCCATAGACCCAGATAAAAAGCTCTTTTTAATAACTGAGTGCTCCATCTTACCCATTTTAGAATTTGTTGACTAAAATGTCTGTTGTACTTCTCTGCCTTAGAGACTTTACACAGTCAATGGAACAAACTCTTTGTGTTCTATAGAAACCCAAGTTACAAATGCATTTCCCTTCCTACTTCCTAGCAGTATAAAGAAAGGAAGTTCTTCATTAAAAAGCTGATTTCTGCATGTTCTTGAACCCTCTTTTTAGAGCCAGCTATTTAGTATCACACAGCAGAACCCTGGATAGTGCTAGTTAGAAGCTCACTGGAGGAAGTGCATAGGAAACTACTTAATTAAAAATACAAAATGCTGTCATACGACATTAACTGAGGAAAACCTTTGCTTTCTTGGGCAAGAAAGAAAACATGAGTTGTTTACAAATGTAAAACTTTGCTTATTTCAGAAAAGAAACTGTTTTCCAAGGGGATGTCAGATCTCCAACAAAGAATAGTGCCATAGGAGTTGGGGAGGAGGAGAAGAGCTTTGAGATTTATTTTATTCCT